TAGATAGATAGATAGATAGATAGATAGATAGATAGATAGATAGATAGATAGATAGTCTATTTAGACATGGGGAGAGAGAGAGAGTGAGTGGGAGGGGGTGGCGAGACATGGAGAGAAGGAAAGAGAAACAGAGAGATGCAAAGACAGAAACAAGAGGGGTACTGGAAGATGTCACATAATCTCATTAGTTGGGTTACATAGTTGTAGAAAAATCAATTCCTGTGGTTACTCACGTGGAAGCTGAGCAGCAGGTTTGGCTGAAATAGAAGCACACAATGGGTAAATCACTAGCCTATGATGACGTGCACAATAATGATATTATAGAAAGTACGTCATACTTTACAAAGTGAAAACGTAGTGGGTTTTTGTTTAGCGTCAACTGGGAAAGACAGTAACTCACAGTATAATAGATTTACTTAAAGCCTGATAATTTGGATAACCATACAACTGAATCATTTTAGTAAGTAAATCATTATCCGCTCCCCTTTCCCAATGCGTTCCTCCATTATGTAATTAAATTATACAAAAACAACAACAAAACTAACAAAAAACAAACAAACCCAAAAACAACTGCAACAACAAAAAAATCCCCTCCCCACAAATAACAATATCCCGTTATAACCGTGAGTAAAACTGTTCAGTAAACCTTCAACTTTGTCATCAACAAAATGGCCACGATCATAACAATTTCTTTCAATCTGAGTTGGGATTTACTTTGAAATTGAGATGAAAAATATAGTTGTATTAAATGATAAATCATTCTAGCAATAGAGTGTGGTTAACTATTGCTTTGATAACGAGCTTCTGGGTAATAATAATATTCACATATTTTCTATAGATCTATCGCCCACATAGAAGCTGACTACATTCCATTGAACGTGAGATAATGTAATCAAATTCAAAACAAAGCACAAATCAAGGTTAGGGGGAATTCTAAACCGACGTCTCTCCAATTTAGTAGGACAAGTCTAAGTATAAGATGGATATCATTAATTATGAATTTATCTACATTAAAACTTTTTTGTCAGAACACGAATCAAATTCTGAAAATGAATCCTGTTTGTCTTTCAGGGTCACAGTCAAATTCTCTGTAGTCTGAAGCAACTCTCCAGCAATAAAAGCTAGCAAAGAAACATTTTAGTTTAGTTCTAGTAAACGTTTTACTGCGTTCGCAACTGCATAAGATGAGCGCAGCAATTAAACGTTGGAAGCTGTTCCCTTTTTTCATTAATAATAACAATATGTATGGGATTCGTCAACTGGTTGAACTATAACTTTACTTTCCATTCAGGTGTACTATACTGATTTGCCTTTGTTTACGCCTAATTTTGACTGTTACAAAAGTAGAGAAAATCAATTGCTCAGAGAAGGTTAAGTTTTAATCTTTCCGATTCATGCTTGGACAGCACATCCAGGTTCATCTAATTTTCTGTCACGGACAGATCAATCAGTCTAGATTTGTTAAATTTATGTCTGCAGTCCGCGCTACTTAACGGTTTACCTCTTATGACCAACGTAACGGCTCGCCTCAGCTGCAATTTCCGTTTGCTGATTTGGCATTCGTAAACCCCTGCGTCATCGATCTTGGCTTTCTCTATGACCAGGTTCCATTGTGAGCTGTTTGGCACATGCTCAGCATGTACCCTCTGGTCACGTGTCCATGACGTAGTACCGATGGTCAACGGTGCAGACCTGGGCAGTTTGCGCCAAGTGACCTGAAAAAGTAATGATGTAGGATGGTAAATAAAAACAGGCGTCAGCGAAAAAGAAGAACATTTCAGTGAAATAGAAGCAAACAACGGTAATATTGTATCATAATCTTAGACTTACTGATAACATGTAATTGTGATTCCCACTCTCCATTGCTCAATGGTCCTTAGAAACCGATAAAAACGATACCACCCTCTGTTTCTATCTGTTCATTATTCATTCGTTGTCTAGGCTTTTCAATCACTTAGTTCCTAACAACATGGCCTGTCATGTAAGTCGCTTGATTAGACGGCATTATGAAAGGAATTCTTTTAAAGAAAACAAAAATGTCCGTTCGGGAGAATGGATTAAGCGCTTCATTAGCTAATTGAAATTGAGCAAAGGTAGAAGAGGTAGCGACAAGCAAAGAACAGCGGTCTAGGCCACAAGTTGAGGCGGAGCTGTTTCCGACACGAAACAATTACCCTTAGCTCTCGGACTGAGACAAAGGACAAGCGATCGTTTATTCCATTCGGCATGCCAGAGAGAAGAGCCGCTTTACGAATGCGTTTACATCACGTTTGAAAGACGCTACTCGAGATTATTGTGTAGGGGTAAGACAGACTGAAAGAAAATCTCTCCTTGCGGATATAATAGAAGGCTCAAGAACCTCTAACCACGAGAATAAATTTTTAAACAAAACCGTATTTGAGAGGAAGGGTAGAAGGAGGGTAAGGGAGTACAGGGAAAAGCAAACAATGCCATAACAATGCACTACTTGGGAGAGCGAGTGGGGATGTTTTGAGTATGAAGTAAAAAAGATCGAATTTAAACCTTAAACGGAAACTGATGTCGTTAGACATGTTCGACCTCATTAATAACGATACCAAGAACAGATAGATAGATAGATAGATAGATAGATAGATAGATAGATAGATAGATAGATAGATAGATAGATAGATAGATAGATAGATAGATAGATAGATAGATAGATAGATAGAGGGAGAGAGAGAGAGAGAGAGAGAGAGAGAGAGAGAGAGGGGGGGGGGAGAGAGAGAGAGAGAGACAGACAGACAGACAGACAGACAGACAGACAGACAGACAGACAGACAGACAGACAGACAGACAGACAGACAGACAGAGACAGACAGAGACAGACAGAGACAGACAGAGACAGGGACAGAGAGAGAAATAAAGTAAAGCCATAAAGTGTCTCAGCTTCAGCCTTTGTCATTTCAGATCATTTCTTCTGTTTGTTTCCTTGTAATATGTTGTACTGTAACACAAACAATATAACCAGTTTAAAGCTGGGATTGTGATTTCAGACTCACAAACTGCAGTTATTTATTGCACGGCATGACAACCACTTGTCAAATTTAGAAGATAAATACCTCGAGAAAAATACAGGATGAATAACATACTTTAAAAAACCCATGATATTTCGTTCCGAAGCACCAAAGTTGAGCGTTGTGAAAATGTCATAAATTTGACAAATGTACACATAGACATATGCTGTAACAAAATATTTACTGAAAATGGCTCACAAGCAAGATTTACACATACTTTCCCGGCAATGCAAACCCTTATAGAATCGTTCAATATTTAGGTTTCCTTTTCGCCTTATATACCTAACAATAATAGAGAGAGAGCAAGTATGAAAATTTTGATGAGGCTCTAGGTCAACTTTCAGAAGGTCTGTATTCATTTCTGTTAGCTGCACGCAATATCCGATACTTTAATGAAGTCTTCCACACTACAACGAAAGCCGTTGAGGGTCAATTACATTCAAATAGTATTATGCAGAATGACATCCTACGAGGTAAACAGGGAGCTTGCATTTAAATCGCTTCCGGCAAGAACACTCAAAACCATTTTGTACAGAAAAAGGAACTGCTCCAAAACATCTGTAAAAGCGTAAGATGATCAGGGAACTCTAACATCGCGCCCAAATCACTCGCCCGATGTACAACGTATTACGAGAAACATTTGGCGGAAACGGTTGGAGTGGGGGGGGGAGGGCAGGGCAGGGCAGAGACTAAATAACTACCGCTGCGTCTCCGGAATAGCGTTCCCCTCTTTTGTCTTCATCAGCCTCTAAGGAAAAAAAAACACTCGGAAGGCCTATCTCGAGTTTTATGTTTTCTTTTGTTGTTGTTTGGTAACGGTCTCTGAAGAAACGGCCGGGGTCGATTTTATCTACGTGTAGGTTAACAATGTTAGAGAGGGACCTTTCCTCAATTAATCGAATTACTGGAGTTTAGTCTTCCCAAATGAGATTTATTTTAGGCTCCTCCGCGAAGACTTTATATGTGGATCGAGTTTTGTCAAGCGAACACGCCCACGTAACTTCTCTCCAGAAGTAGAGTCTTCCCGTTTCCTTCTGTAAAACTAGGACGCTTGCCGTTTTAAACATACGGTGAAACTGGGGCGTGTGGTTTAAAAAAAAGTTACAGTACGTCTTTCCGTTCTTCACATTGCCTCAACACATTTTGCACTTAGTCTCAGTTCTTCTCATTTCTTCAATAACGCATTAAAACAACCTTCGTTTTCTTTTCATTATAGCTGGTTTCCCTTCGTTATCTGCGTGTATCTGTTGTGTTTCGACTTGTTTCTTTTTGTGTTTTCTTTACATCTACCCTTCTTTATGCAAGCGATCTGACCTAGTTGTGATTTCGGCTGATTCTGAAGTCCAAAGATAAAGAGCTAAGATGGAGAAAAGAATAATATTATCTTAAAGTATTCTTCTTTTCCATGGACAGATAGATAGGGAGAGAGAGCGCGAGAGAGAGAGAGAGCGAGAGAGAGAGAGAGAGAGAGAGAGAGAGAAAGAGAGAGAGAGAGAGAAGTATTAGCCTAGCATCTGCGTTTGTAGCCATTTTTTTGTCCAAAAGTTGCCAAAAGTTGCCACTAAAATAGCAAAAGTTGCCCAAAAAGTTGCTATTAATTTTCAAGCTTTCAACTCTCTGTGACGACGTATATATAGCAATATGTTGACAGACAAACATACAGTCAGTTGACTGAGTCTTCTTAAGAGAAAAAACAAACCCATACCGAACTGTTTATCATACATTGACATTTCTTTCCATTACTTTTGCATCTAACTTCGTTCCACGAAGACCATAATATTATAAAACCAGCACCAGCCCATCTTCTTTCAATTCTTCGACAAACAAGGTGAGGCATGCTTTTGGTCACAGGTTTATCTTTGGACTTCTAGTAACAATTGTTTTTACAATAATCTTTTTTCCCCTTTAACTCGCTGACTTTTGAAAGCACCACATATATCGCGAGTTGAGTGTGATTTTTGTACCAATTCCCATTTCCTACTTTTGGGAGTTTTTGTCAAGAACGTTGAAAAACATCTTCGATCTGAGCCCCAAGTTAGAGCGGTTCTGTTGAAAATCAGTTTCATTTTGTACTGACGCCCATTTTCGCGACTGGAATATTTATCATGACGCATTGGGAAAAGGTGCTCGTCAGTTTTTGGGCATATGGAGTAATTGGTACCATCTTCAAGCTTGCTCGTTTGTTTTGGTTTTAATGAAAAAAAATACCCATCTGCCTTAAACAGAAGTCGAATTATATATTGGATTGAAAGACAAAGGGGTCACCTGGTTTCAGAGCTAAAATTAGCGATAAAATGGCCACCAAATTTTGGCGACTTCCAAAGCTTGAGAGTTCTTGGAAGCTCTCCATTCGCATTTTTTGTGCCTTCAGTTACTTTAATGAAGATTTTTTTCCCAGTTAAATACACACGTCGAGAAATGTGCTTTTAAATGGAAATAAAAAAGTGTTAAGTCAAAGAATACAAATTCGATGAAAAGTGCCAAACGGGAAGCAAAATGTCGTTCTCTTCTATTTCATTATTTTGACAAGCGCCTGGTTTCACTACGATGCCTCACACATAGTGCATTTAAAGTGATTTACACCAAAATCGGAACAGTTTTAATAGCGTTGCCACAAGATAGCACTAAATTGTCGATATTGCTGAAATCCGTTATGTGTTGCAAGGATGGTCCAGGTATTCCTACTGCAGGCATTTTCAGCTTGGAAAGGCTTGCATATTTTAATCTTAAGTTGGATATTCTTACGCCACTATCCAAACGGTATAGATCATTCAGGAGGTGGGCTTCCGACCCTGCATGTCAGGTCCAACCTAGGCTGAGAGGAATACAACAGCCCAACAGAAAGCACGGGATACTGGAAAGGAATTTCTCTTCACTCGGGAATCGAATTCGGGTCTCCTGCCTGCAATAGTAAAGAACCTCTACACTTTTGGGTGCCAATTGGTGGAATCGGGTCGTGTGGGGTCTGTTCGCTAGCCTGACTGAGGGTGAAAAGCGGCTATCGTGGCACAAGCCAATAGCGCCCGACTAGTCGCCTCAAAAACAATCGTGTTTCTTTTCGAACGACGAGTCGGGCGGTCGACTCGACCCAACCGGACCCGACCCAATCCTATCCACAATAGGCACTCGGTATTTAACGCCAGTTGGAAAGATGCGAGGGATTAAAGTGTTACGAAACTTAAAAGTAATTGTATGAGTTTAAAGCTTGGAATAGAACTCGGCTTTCATGTGTGAGACAGCGAAGTGCCTAACCGCGACACCACAGACGCCGGTTGGAAAACATGTGATATTAAAGTTCTTCAAAGTAAGTGAAAGTAAGTACATGGGTTTAAACCCCCTATCAACACTACTAGGTTATTTAAAATTTAAACTCTATAGAACATTACAGCAACTGCAGCAAACCTGCACTTATCAATACATGGCATTGGAAAGAAGAGCGAGAGCCCAGCTGTTGCTGGATCGATAACAACAACAACAACAACATTTAAAATTTAACATCTGTCTCCGATAGGACGGAGCCAAACGAGTTCAGAACCTTAAAAACTCAACAAACTACCTAGTTCAAAAACGTCCAGTCTGCGGTTCGAACCAAATCCACCCACTCCGCATTCCAGCATAATAGCAACTGGGTTAACAGAGCATGTGTTACACAAATGATACTTATAAGTCTATACAATAGC